GTTTAGATCATCTTCTCTCGAATCCAAATAATAGATCTCGCTTTGGTTAAGTCAGACAGTTCGAATAATCTCGTCAATTTCTTATTTGGTTTACATCCAGGTAAAATCAGCAAAGATCCCAGCGCGCGAAGTGTGCGCGCGCCGTCAGTGAACTCGCGCTGAAATGCGGGCTCAAAAAGTCTTTTTAGCAGGACAAATGAATGCTTGGTGATTGCGAGACTAATCGATAATACAGAAAAATAAATAAAATACGTCCTACTATCATGCACTAACATGCAGACTGTTAGTCTGAACTGCGCGCACAAACACCGCGTTTCATAAGCACAGCATTTCAGACGGACGTGTGTTAAAACAGTTCGTTATAAATGCATAACTTTCAAACAACTTTGCAGATGCCTTTCCATGCCTATTACAACTATGAAGGCAAACGCATTACTTTTATATCAGTCAAATATGATCTACTTACACTGGAACAGTTTTCCTGCCAGTTTGGTTGTGGCGGTGCGTATCCGTTGGTTCCTCTCCAATTCGAACACTTGGAATTTTACTTGTCCAAACCCGTGCAAAATGTTTCCATAAAGTCAAGTGAAACGAACAGCTATCCTGAGGGGTAAGGTGAACGAGGGTCTGGTTGCCTGGTGCTGTCCAATTCTGTGGTGCTGAAGGACAGGGGGAAAGAGCCAGAGACAGGAGCAGCTCCGTCTACCATGAGCGTCCAGAGATGTTACATGAAGCACAGACCGTCACTCTCAATGTCAGCTGAAAGTCGACCCTCCCCAAACACAACATCCCTACCACTGAATCCCAGACACTGGGCAGCCTCTCTTCTCAATGCTTTTTATATGCTTTGTATATGTTTTTTTTCTCCCTCAATTGGTCTTTGCGTGACTGAGATCATGTGTCTAATCAGATGACTGACACTGCCCACTCACTGTAATTACTTTTTGCAAATCATTTATTCATTCATCTATTTTATTTGTGCAATAATGTTACTCTTCTCAGAAGTGTTATGCGTATATCTTTATTTCATAAGTCTGTTCATGCAGAATTGCAGACCAAAGTACATCAAAATACAAGTAGGTTGCAATTTTAAAGCAGTCTCTTGTTATTAAATGAATTTGCATGTCCTAGATAAGAACAACTTCGACTACAATGTGTGGTTTTCACAAGTAATGATAATACGGTGTAAAATAAATCTCAGCAAAGTTGGCAAAAGAAAAAAAAACGTTAAGTTTCAGCTAAATTTTGCTCTCATTTAACGAGGTACTGACATTATATCAGCCACTGGACACTTTGCCATCTAGATATCAGGATGACCCATTAATTAAATTCATACGTGCATATAGAAAACTACAAAATGACAGCAGATGGTAACACTTATTTTACACTAATATCCATGTCTTCTATATATATATATATATATATATATATATATATAAACATGTATAT